TCAATGCTTTCCTTCGCTTTTTTACTTGGAGTGTTATACTGAGTGCCTAGAAATTGTGCCGTGCGGATTGGACACGTTTCGGACAGCGCATCATAATTCGTGAATGAAGGGGTTATAGTTAGGCGGTGAGCTTTAAATCTTACGCAATTTAACAGCAATGCATACAGTGGTGTTCCCTCTATTTTTCTGTGGTTGCAAGCTAATGAAGGTTTATTTTTGCCTATTAGAGCCGTACAATCGTTATAAAGTTGTTTTTCATGCATTTATTAGTATGGGGTTATATATTTCCTGCATTGTGCTTCGAGTATGCCTTAAGTCACGTATCAAAAAGGCCGCTTGTCCTCTTCCACACATCAGCGTAGAGATTTCACATGTACGTCACGTGAACGATGAGGATCTAAAATGCTTGCCAAAATAGAAAGAAGGATAACTCGTACATGCACACTCGTGCATTGCACACATCCAAAATTAACTTCATACCTCTTATTTCATAGTGGCACGTATTAACTTTGGAGGAGATGTAAATAGCTTAATTGTATGTATAGTCACAACAGAGAAGAGTCAGGTCTCGCATAATCGGTGGCCACTTACCTTTTAGACTTTGTGATATGCTCGGTCTAGAGAGAGAGCGAGAAATGGAGAAGGGTGAACCAAGCTTTGGCTTGGTTGGCTACTTGGGATTGGGGAAAGGAAGAATATTAGAAACGGAAAGATAGGGAAGAGGGAAGAGGTGTAGCCCTGCCGCGGTGGTCTAGTGGCTGAAGTACTCGGCTGCTGACCCGCAGGTCGCGAGATCGAATCCCGGCTGCGGCGGCTGCATTTCTGATGGAGGCGGAAATGTTGTAGTCCCGTGTGTTCAAATTTTGATGCACGTTAAAGAACCTCAGGTGGTCAAAATTTCTGGAGCCCTCCACTACGGCGTCTCTCATAATCATATGGTGGTTTTGGGGCGTTGAACACCACATATCAATCAAGGGAAAAAGCGTAACAACGAGATGAATAAACAGTCAGCTTGAAACTACACAAGTTGGTCTTCTGTGGTCGGGCTCAGCAGTGTGATCTGCCACTGCTTATCGTTAGTTATTCTGCGGCCTTGACTAGCCACCAAGATTGCCTTCTAATCACCCACTCTGGGCAGATACATCAATAAGTATGTTGTTCTCCGTAGTACTGCTTGAATTTCACCACCTCCGAATACATATTGGTTTGAAGGAGGTGCAAACCAACCTCCGCAAAAAAAGAAAGCTTAGTAGAAAGATGGCGCAGCTGTGACAAAGATGGCGCAGCTGTGAAGAAAGACCCATTGAGGACGTGTTGGTCGTGAGCACTGGTGCAAACGGGGCTAACGATGAGAATAAAGCGAGTATTTGTGTCATGCCCTCAAAGTCTCAGCTAAGGGCAGCGATCATGCTCATTTTACAGGGGAAGTTGCATCTCTCTATATATATTTAGCGCCGCACTTTGCCACGTTCGGCACACGAGCAACATCACATATAGCTAAATAAGACATTTTAAGAACGTTCGTGTCTCAGAAATGACCCAATCTATACAATGAGAACTTACTGCGAGGTTAGTAGAAATTTTCTTTAATGTTTAGAAGAGCCAGAAAAGGAATTATGCTGTGCATGATTGACTAATCATGATCATCAGAAGGGGGTGGTACATTTAGAATTTTGTATTTGGGAGTAAAAATCAAGTATCCCATCTTGTTGCGTATTCGCAGGCAAATGCTGACATCGTTTTCACAGAGAGCTCTCTACTGCTGATTTCCTATACTCATTCATGCAAAAAAAAATATATGCCACAATGTTCCTAGCCGTGAACAACTCCACAAGTACAACGCGAACAGTTTGTTGTAAATACAGGCTGGACGTTTGACAAATGCGCTGGTGGCAATGCGCCTTCGCGAATGTGGTTGGGAAGGGGGAAACGTGAAGGCGGAAGTGTAGACCTCATCAACAAAACGCATGCTCCTCAAGTAAGCTGCACCTCACTACATGAACGTTCTACAGGTGCGAGAAGAGGGCAACAAGGAGGCAAAACAATTGAGGGGTGGCGCGACCGACCTGGGGTCATGTGTCTAATGGTTGATAAATCGCGAAAGAAAGGAGACTCCGCACCAGCGCCACACTACTTTCAAGGCATCGATGATGGCGTGCGCACGCCGCAGCTCGATGCCGAACGACCGTTAACTTGTGTCGAGAGCGTTCTGTCCTATACAGGCCACGGTACTTTCCCTTACTGGGACCGTTTCAGGAAGGGGGAGGGGGGGACGATCGCAAGCTTTGGTGGTTAGAGGGGAGTCGTGTAAGCCTTTGTAGCCCGCTTCGCTATTCTAGTCTCACCGCCGATGGTAACTCGCAAAGATGCACTAAATGATACGCGGCAGCCGGTTGGGATTGAAGAGGTCATTGACTCGATGGTGGCTGTTCCAAAACGTGTGTAAAGCAAAGGAAAACGCAAATAGTAGTGCACGTTTCGCTCCGCAGTTTTTGTAGCAACACGTTAAGGAAAGAAGCGCTCGAAAATGTACGATTCACTGTGTAGCACGTGCCGTGTGGCAGTTCAGAGTCGCTTATTTTCATGTGGCCATCGCATTCAAAAGAAGAGCATTTCAGCCAACTGCATGCAGATTTCGGACAATGTAGTTGCAAGCTTGCTTGCGCTCATTGGAACTCAAAATATGTTGCTGGTCGCTACACCGATAGTGCGTGGACCACATCACCGTATGAATACTTACATCGCTAGTCAAAAACAAAACAATGGCGTAACTTTTTTCTTTCCCATAATGTGTAAAAAATCATCTGTACATTTTAATTTTCCGCATTTTCTTCCTCTTAGTCACAGCCATAAAAGTCCATTTATTCTATTAGCTTCCATGACGGATATATTGTTAATAGTAAAATATTTATTAAGGGTTTTATTTATTTATTTATTTATCATTCCTTTGTTCACGTGCTTGACCGCTTGGTTACTTCGTTATCTCAATAAGGTTGCCATTTGAGTCTGTTGGTTTGCCATTAGAATACACGAATTTGCGCGACTGAGACACGCACAGCAGAGAGACATGATCACGACACGATGCGCTTCGACACGCACCTGTGCCACTTGATTTAAGCAGGAACGAATAATAAGCATCACAATATATGCAGCAGCACGAAACGAGAATTATAAATTAAATTTTCTTCACTTGTTTGGCCAAACTAATGAGGAGAGGTAGTAGGGCAGCATAAGGACAGGCGTATTATTCAGTACGTAACATTTGGTGTGTATACCCACTTTGCGGGGGTGGCGTTGCTCGTGCAACGCCACACCCGCAAAGGATGTGCCTGGATGTAAGCCTGGGTTTGATGGTCCATTGGATTGTAGCTAAGCTCCTTAATAATGCCAGCTTGTGAAAAATGTACTAGCAGAACTGCGATCCGAAATATCTAGTAGAGTTTAATCATGGCAGCCAAGGGTCAACCGGACCTAAAGCCAAGACAAACTGTAAACACTAGCCCAACCAGAGATTTCCTTTCTTCGATTTTTTTCTGCATTTTTTCCATGCCGTTATGAACAGAAACTTTGGGATATATAGTGAAGAAGCCTCATTATTTCAAGGTTTTGAGGAAGCAGGCAGCAGGATCTACTGTGGCAATGCACTTCTTTCATTGACCGACGGGTATGTGATCAGTAAGACAGCGTGATGGGCACGACAGCGTGCATGCGCGTACTATACGGCTTTGATCAGGCTCCTGCGCCGCAGAAGCTCGCACCTTGGGCAGTGACCGTGCTACGCGAACTCAATACCTGGAAAGCTTGGGGCGTTTCGCAGGCGAAGAGCACTTTGCGCGCGTTTCACTCCGGCCGCTACGCGTGCGTCGACGATCGAGGTACAACGCGGAACGGGCCGCTCGAGGAAGATTCGGCTTGTACAGAGAGATCTGTGGCAGCGACCGGTTTGGAAACGGAGCCAGCGAAGTGCGAGTCGAATGTGGGCTACATTATTTTCCGAGAGGACTAAACTGAATAAAAAAGGAAGCATAAAAAGTAGATGATACAAAGAAAATACGAGGAACCCAGAGCAATCTTTACGTTCGGAAACATATGTGCGAAAACGCGCTTATATGCCTTACCTAGAAGGTGCTTATATCTACAGGAGAAGTGGGAATGTCCTGTACCCCTTTGTTGAACATCCTGTAAGCGCTGCGCAAACAGGAAAAAAGTAAATCGGGACCACGTGTATATTACACCAGCTTTGTTCTGATAATCTGTATATACATTGCTCACTGGGATAAGGGCCACCTAGCGAGTGTTGCAGCGTGGCGAGGAGAATTGATGTTTTGTGAGATCAGGCTGATTACATCATCGCATGACTGGACAAAATGAAAAGTTGTGCTTCTCGTAAATTTGACTGCATTTTCTGGTTTACGAATTTATCGTGCAGTTCTGCCGCGAACAAATATAAATACAGTAGGTTTCACTTGCCCGATCTCGCAGATAAGTTAACTCACAGAGAAAGAAAAAACTTTGCTCTTTCGAGTACGCCTAATTTTTCGTAGCATGCGTATGCGGAACCGTGTCGTCGCAAGCAGTGTTCAAGCTGCTACCGGAAGGTGGAGATGAGTATCGGGCCACACTTTTCTTTGCCTGCCCTTCACAAACTTCTGTGTCGTGCACATAGGGTTTAGAGCGGTTATCAATACCACAAATGAAGTTGCGCGATCTCATTGCTCTTAAGGCTTGGCCTTCACGGTAACCTATTTGTTTTGTGATCATGTCTCTTTTTCTCGTTTAGAAGAAAATAAGGCTGCGCTGCACGTCACAAAAAAAACCTTCGTTAGTAGATATGTGTTCATTTTTGTTTTCCTTAAAATAACAGATATCTCTCAAAACCGTACGTGGCCATCGTTGTAAGGTACATCGTTGCAGGTAGCCTTCGACTGTAAAAGCTCTTTTCTCCGACAGCAAGAGCGACTCAATGCGAGGTGAACCATGGCATTTGTGTTGTTTCGCAGTGATGGATGCATCAGGCAAGCTACCCGAGGGCCTTCTCGAAGGACGCATGGCATCCATCGGCTCCTACGATGAGTGCCTCGACCTGGTTGCCGAGTACAAGACGCAAGAGTTGTACCGCGGCAAGTATTGCACAGTCTTCCTTTCGTCGGGCCACAATGTTCAGGAGATGTTCAACAACGAGACTGACGCCTCCGCTCACCTGTCGACGCTGCTCAGGCACCCTAAGGTAAGTGTGGTCATTGTGGGACTGCAAGCAGGGATGGAACATACGTGATGGCACTCAGATGACATTAAGAGCCGTGTTCATGAAAGGGCTAGGGCTGTTTGTTGGAGAAGGTCCAAGTTATTCATGATGTCAGACGGAGAGGCTACCAGGTAAAGAAAAACAATACTTAAAAGGAATAGCTCGATTCAATTCAGTCCATGCTGTGTAGGCAGACATATCTTCAATACAGAAAAAAAGTATCCATGTGATTGAAAGTTGTTCGACTTCAAACAGAACATTCGGAACTATGTTCACAAACTGTTCTCAGGTTAAAATATTTTGTAAGAGCATATGTCGTCTAATCTTGATGCTGAATTTATAATTAACTGAGGCAGCCCGGCAACCGCAAGCAGCATTTACAAGCGATAATGGTTGCTAAATTTGGACCCGTCGCATCGGCATCAGTGCCGACTTACAGAACTTTTTCTAGGTGCGAGGACGGCTATTATTAACACGGTGCCTTGATATTCCTGTTGGCACTGTTCTTTTTGGTGTTCGCTTCTATTTGGCAACTGTTCTTTTGCATACAAACTGCTTTGGGAATCAATAGGCTGTCCAACCACAATCAATAAAGCTGAGAGACCATAACAATAAAAAAGGGGCAGGTGGCGCAGTGGTATAAGAGAGGTGCTCATAACTCTTGCCGAAGTATATCACAAGTCAGGGCGATGTTGGTTTCCAAGGCAGGTCATGCGCTAGTGCAATTCTGCTATTGGTGGGGTCTGTTGAAGCGTAGTGATGGCCACTCACAGAGCAAGTTTGTATGATGAGGTCTCATGGTACGTTGTGCCAGCCAATTCTGTTGAAAAGAGATATTTTAATGATAACCGGCTGATGAGCTACTGCAAAAAGAAAACAAGGAAGGATACCCCACTTCACTGTATACGGCTGTCTAAGCAAGGGAAGGGTGTAACCGCTGCCCTGAGAAGATGCGTCAGGCAAGTACTAAATCATTATTTAGTTGGGATTACAGATGAATCAGTAGCCATAACTTTCTGTCTTGTTCTCTGGCTATGAAATTTAGATAAGCTAGAGACGTAGAGAACCACTCTGAAAAAAGCAAAAAATAATAATCACTGCTAAAGCACTTCGTACAAATGATTAACCAGCGAAAGCTGAAACGTGTGACCCAGATGTTTAGTGGTAAGTTCAACCAGACGCTGGACTGTAGCATTTCACAATTATTGATTACATGTTCGTCCTTTGTAATGTGGTTAGAAACACGTTTAGCTTGGGTTTACTTACCAGAGTGTTTATTTAAAGTGCCGCACATTGTGCCTCGCATGATCACGGTCGTAGAGGAGTGTAGTGAGTGGTTAAGTGCACTCCACAATGCGTTATTCACAGTGGTTGTTCTCGAACTACTGGCGGCCACAGACGTCGCAGCCGCAGCCGAAGTGCCGCTGGAGAAACTCCCGCCAGAAGCGGGCATTCGCCCCGGCGAACGCACTTCTGCAATCACCACGCTGTCGCTGTTGTGCCCGCAACACCACCTTGTTTGGCGCGGATTGTAGCAAGCGTTTGACATCGCGAGCTAACTCGGCGGCGTGGTTTGCCGGATCCGCCCACCGCCGGCGTTTTCATTCTCGTTCACAATTTAGCACGGCTTGGAAGGCTGTCCCATCATTGGTATGCAGTTGCTGCCAGCACTCGGCCTATCAGGCCTGTTTTTGTGCCAGGACTGCTCCATCGGCTCGGCGAATGCAAGCTCTCTCACGTTTCCAATCTCGGTGCTCTGCTAGAGTTGTCCGTATCTTACTCATGTGGAAGCTTTCAGTAGAAACTCATGCACGCGTGGTCGGCGCTACAGCGGCGACGGGATAGACGACGTCGCTCACAACGAAGCCAATGGCGCGCATGCTTAGGTACAACGCTGAGAACTACGTAGCTGGTATATATAGCACAGCCAATAGAGACCGCTCGTGATACCGATACCGAACTGTTCTTTGGTTGGCCCAGCCATATACAGATTTTGCTGTAAAAAGCTATACGTACATGCGATGATGCCTTGGCTGCAGCTCATGAATATAAGATTCGTCAGCTGTACTCATTACTGAACTCATATTGTGACCAGCGTTTGAACTTTGGCTACGAAGGCTATAAACAGGCACGGCAGACATAAGGTCCCGTTTGCTTTACAAATAAGAAAGGCCATGCATTAGAGTATGCATCGCAACTTCATACATTCCCGGAGATGCTTGCCATGTGCACGCTCGATTTATTTTTTTGCTTTCTGCATATTACATAGTTTTATTCCTTTCGAGGAAGCTCTAGCTATTGTGATTTGCGTGTGGCTAAGCAAATGCAGAATAGTTTTCCACGTGAAATGTGGCACACTTGTGTAGCCGTCGCCTTGTGTTTCTTCTGACTGGCTAGACACTATAGTATGTGACTTAGGTGACACACATTGAAAAAAAAAAACATGATGTAATTCATTGTTAGAGGACCTATTTTCACTTGTTTCTTCGTTTTATTTACTTACAGAGGATGACTCGGATCGTGTACCGCGTCTCTCCCCAAAGCCGCAAATTTCGACTGGGTGTCTGCGTGCCATCTGTCTGCACTCTTGACGACGTGCAAAATGTCGTCGCGCACAGTAAGTTGCACTAAGGCAGTAAGTATAGTGGCGCTATGTTGCTACTCTATGTGTCTTGCCGAAATTCTGTGCCGTTCTCCGTCCCTTTAACACTAGGCGTTCTGTGACGTGGTGCAGTAATGTTGCATCAGGTGACGCTAAAGGAACATACTGATACTGAAACACGACTTTGTGAACCCTTGACTCTGACTGGTTTCAAATGTGAAGCATTTTTTTAGCTAACTTCAACGACATTGAGCGTATCTATTTATCTATCTATCTTGCCGCTTATTTTTGGGTGCTCTCGTGGTCACCCCTTAAATTGGCGTGAACCAAAATTAGCGTGGGAGCGTAAGATGATTTGACGAATATGCCCAGGTCAGGACATGAATATTGTCCCAATCCCGTCGCGTACGTCGTCAAAAATTTCCCGCCAGACAATGGCACATACGCACGGGAGGGTATGTGCCGCTGGTATGCGGGTATGTGCCACAGGTGATTCACACTCAGTATCTACCCAGGAACGACGACAACATACATGGGCAATTTTAAACCGCGAACATTAAGAAAAGAACCATCGATAGCGTCGACCCAATGAATGCAAAGAATAAATGTCAGGGTCACAGCTGGAATCGAACCCAAGCATTCTGCGTGGCAATGAGGCATTTTACCACAGAGCTACGCCAGGTATTGGAACTACTTTTTGAATAGATGCCAATCTCAATAGTGATTGCAGCGCTGCCTACCCAATTTTATAAACTTTACATGTGTACTCCTTTGATACAGCCGTCACATTGAGTTAACGTCAGTTGTGGTTAGTTGCCATGTGCTGAAGTTGATTTATGTAGCAGTGTCCTGGGCCAGCATCCTCGAGAGCATAAGCGCTTCATAACAGCTTCTGGTGTTGCTAATACGCATGTTCCAGTTGGAATCGTTGCGCAAATGCCAACAACTGGTCATATAAACATCCGCAGCTGTTCAACATATATATGTCTGTGCGTGCAACATTTGTACATATACTTAGCGTCATTTCATGGCGTGCCGCTCAATAAAGAATTGCAGCATGGTCAACTTCCCTCCGCATGCTTCGAATAACGTCGATTCCAAGGTACGTGGGATCTGCTGATTTTTTTTCTTCAAAAAAGATGGTTGCTCCCAGGGCCAATCGAAAGACGTGATACTCACAAATGCCACATGTTTGAACATTGTGACCTCTTTTGTGATTAGCTTAACTGTGTACAGTGACAATGCATGGTTACAGACATTACCACCGGTTTTCTCACCTTACACTTGTGCTTTATTTTGTATACTTTTTTTTCGCGGATCTCCTCTCATTAAGGAACTGATAGCAGATTTCAGTGCCCAGAAGCTTCAGGTTCTATGCAAAGCCTCACCGGAGAGCCCGTTTCAAGGTCTTTGCATATGACAGATGAATCAGACGTCAATAAAGGGCAGTATTGTGCAGAATGCACATGACAGAGAAAATCAAAGCTTTCAGAGAGGGCAATGTTTTTTGACTTAGTTCATCCCTTATACCTTTAAAATAGCCGAAGAACAATTGGTGCTCAAAACTGCTGCTAACGTAATACGAATGCAATGGTAACGCAATCTGTACGCTCTTTGATATATAACACAATTTCTGACATTTTTTTTCTTTTTATGCTTGCAGCATCTTCAAAGTCGATCGGCGCGAAGACGCAAGTTAGCCGCTGTGTAGTCAAAGAAGATGTGTCTATAAGTGGACTACAGGTCTTCCTCATGTAAGTTACCCAAATCACTATTACTGCCCATGTGAAGTAGAGAGAGAGAGAGAGAGAAGGAATGTAAGAAAAGTAGGAAGGTTAACTAGACTACGTCCAGTTTACTGCCCTATATGTGAGGATAAGGCAATAAGAGAAAGCCACACGAGCTCTTCTACAATTTGTGAAAGCAACAACACTGAGCGACCGCCTGTGGAACCTGCACTCAGTGCGTGGCGTGCAATCAGCACCTCATTCTTTCTCTCTCTTTCTTTTACTCCTAATTGAAGCAAGAAATTCCACCATTTATCTGCTAAATTGTTTGTGCTCGAAAAAGAACAGCGCGTCAAATTTATATTGTGTAAAGGATTAGAGTTAGTTTACTAAAGTATGATGTAATTATAACTAATTTTTATATTTCCTACGAGCCCGTATGTGTAGGCTTAGTAAATTATGCTTTTTCTCTGCTTCTGTGTAATTATTCTGCAAAATACCGCTTGTGTGTTTGAGTGACCAGGACAGTTTGTTCAGTGACTGACAGCTGATATTTCTTTCAGAATTGCTCTGTGCGTGCTGGTTAGCATCATAATCGTGGCCACCATCCTGGATATGCGAGTGGAGGACAATGCCCAGAAAGCACTGCCCGGGGCAGGTACTGGGAATATTTATATTTGAAAACAAATTTCATTGGCACGGTTGCGGAGTAGTTCCTCTTCGAAATTTTCTAGCAGGCTGTAGATACATACACTTCGTCAGTTATCATCCATAAAGTTAACATTTGAAATTGAAATTGAATTGAAATTGAAATTTATTCCGCAACAACAAAATACATGTTACGAGGAGGGCAGGTAAAAGCTGTGAGAACAGCTTGAGAAGCCCTGACCCCCTAGTACACAGGGTAGCACAGAAAGACGTGCGGCTAAGGACAACCAAAATAAAAGTGTTTCACAATGTGCACTAAAAAAAGAAACAATGAAAGATTACAATGAAAGATCACCGAGGTAGTCGCTAGATCACATTATTATATAAACACTAATCGCAATTTTTTTGGTGATATGCTAGATATATCAATGTTATGTTCCCTAATTATGCGGTTTAGAAGTGTAGGCAGTTGAAACTTTAACATTTGATTTCCGTATTTCGTTCTACATTTTGATATGTGCCACACTTCAGGTTGACGTACATTATAAGCAGGAAAATTTTTCTCTAACCTGGCTATTCTAGCAATCGTATCATTATTTTTCAATAAACCGAACTTATATAAACGGCTTAGTTTATAATCATATATTGATGCAACCCGAATGATGTAGTGTTTTTTAAACAATTCTGCTGTGTGGCTGCGATGTGGTAATTTAGAGGCAAGACGCAAAGCTTTCTTTTGCAAGATGGTAAGTTTGCAAACGTTTACAGTTGTCGTTGTGGACCATACAAGAAAGGCATAATTCAATAATGAAGAAAACAACGAGTTATATATGAGCATGTTTACAGAAACAGGAAAATAGTAGCAATGACGGCGCATGACGCCGATTATACGAGATAGTTTAGTAATAATATGGTTCACGTGATCATCCCATGTCATGTTTTGTGAAAAATACACGCCTAATGATTTAAAACTTTTGACGACTTCAATTTCTAAATTATTTAACGAAATGATGGGAAACTGAACTTGTGTGTGGCGGGGGTGAAATAAAACAGCTTTTGTTTTTTTTATGTTTAGTTTTAGAGAGTTTTCTTGGGCCCATGTGTTAATTTTAGACAGTGCGTTATTCGCTCGGCTACCTAGATCGCTGCTACATCTGCTTGAAAAAAACAAACTTGTGTCGTCAGCATATATAATGTAATGGGCAGATTCATCAATACGAACTATCTCATTAACGTAAAGTATAAAGAGAAACGGTCCCAAAATGCTTCCCTGCGGGACGCCTGTTTTAATGGATTTTGTTGCGGAATGTTTGCCTTGAATTACGACGAATTGAGTTCGGTGTTGCAAGTATGAAGTGATTAATTTGTGTGCAACGCCTCTTATACCGTAATGGTCCAACTTTTGTAGGAGAATTTTATGATTAATGAGGTCAAAGGCTTTTGAGAAATCAAGAAAAAGACCGAGTACCATATTTCGGGATTCAAAATTCTCTAGAATGTATTCTTTTTGTGCCAGTAGCGCGAGCTCAGTAGATTTATTTTTCCGGAAGCCATACTGCGCTGAAGTAATCAAGTTGAACTTGTCAGTAAAAGAGTTCAAACGTTTCAAAATTATTTTTTCCAGACCCTTAGAGAATACAGGTAGAATCGATATAGGGCGGTAGTTGGACATGTCATTTCTGGGACCCTTTTTATAGATAACTGTCACTTTTGCTATCTGCATGTTTCGCGGGAAATGTCCTGTGGACAAACATATGTTAAAAATGTAGGCAAGACAGGGTGCTAGTATGTCAATAACATACTTAACAGGTTTCATCTGAATATTGTCCGCGTCAGTGGCTTTGCTATTACTGAGTGTCAAAAATGTCGCTACTAATTCACTCTCTGAAATTGGCTCTAGAAATATTGTTTGGTTATTTCGAATATTCATATATTTTAAAGAAGTACTACTGGTTGTAGGGCCGCCAACTGACAAAAAGAAGTCGTTAAATGCATCAGCTAAATCAGGCCCTTGAATTTCTGTACCATCTTTCACAATTTTGGTTAATTCCTCCGGTGGATTATTAAGCGTACTGTTAATTGCCTTCCAAACGTTTTCTGTACGCCCTTGCGTTGAGTTAAACAGGTTCGAATAATATAGTTTCTTTTCATCACGAAGGCGTTTGGTGACAAAGTTTCGGTGCTTTTTAAATGCTTTGAGGGCTTCAGGGGACTTACTCACAATAAATGCCTTGAACAATTGGTCCCGCTTTCTTATAAGCTTAAGGCATTCTTTATTTACCCAAGGTTTCCGACTTTTTTTAAATGTTTTAAATGACTTTAGGGGAAAACATTGAAGGTATATTTCGGTGAACTTGTTCATAAATAAATCGTATGCCAAATTGGCGGCACTCGCTGCGAACACATTGCTCCAGTCGGTTCTGCCTAAGCGCTCTCTAAAGAGGGTTAGTGTTTCAGGATTTATAAGTCTATAGGAAAATTCTGCACGCACTTGTTTGGGTACGTTATTGAGTTGGTTAACAATCATAAATATAGGCATGTGGTCACTAATATTGTGAATCAAAGTGCCAGCCGTAACAAGGGAAGTATCAAAGTTTGTTATAAAAAGATCTAAGAGTGTTGATGACTGTGAAGTGATTCGCGTAGGAGCCGTTATAACATTTTGACAATAATGCGAGCTCAACATTGATTCAAGTTCTAATTTAACACTGCTCTCAGCTAACATGTTGATGTTGAGGTCACCACCTAAAATCAAGGCATATTTTTTTTCACTCACAAATTCTAACAGTGAGTCTAAAAAAGAAAAAAACAAACGGACATTATTTGATGGAGGGCGGTAACATACACAAAACACTGATGTACCACATCTAACAGTGAGTATTTCATATAGAGGAGAAATGCAGGAGAATTCAGACATCAATTCACAGTCTATTTTACTTGAGATTAGCATAGCTACGCCACCACCCCTTTTGCCTGTGCGGTTCATGTAGTATGATTTATAAGTTGGAAACGTAAATACATCATCTTCCGAAGCAAACCACGTTTCCGAAAACATCACAACGTCAAAATTTACTTGTGCTTCACTAAAAAAATATTCGAGCTCATCCTGTTTATTCCTTCCCGATCTAAGGTTGAAATGAACGCAACTGAGGCTTTTTTCACAACAAGTGTCATACAAGTTTTTAAGATTAATAAGGTCTATAGGTGCGGTTAAGGGAAACATGTTAAGACGAGTATCAAAAGAATATCAGGAAGTAACAATGCAATGCGGGGTAACAGTATCACAGCTTATCAAGGTCACCCAAACGACGAATGACAACCGCGCTATCACCCTCTCTTTTCCTAACGAGAATCTTGCCGTTGCAGTGCCATGAAAAACGATAGCCATTGTTCTGTGCCCAGTCTTTTGCGTTGCGCAGCAGCTCTCTGTTTTGCTGGGTCATGTTTTCAGTGATCGAAACATTCGAAGCATCTCTTAGGGCTTTCCGCCTTCCTAGCCACTTATCACGAATTGATTGCTGGGCAAATCGAACTATAATTCCGGGTGTTTTGTTTGGCTTTGCCGGAAGTCTGTGGATAGCGGCGATGTCATTCCCAGTCAGCTCTGGCAGGTTAGCAATCTTGGCCACATCATTCAACTTACTCAGCAAATTCTCGTCTGGCGTAACCCGGATGCCGTGAACTTCTATGTTTAGTCTCCGACTACGAAACTCGAGATCATTCACCGTAGCTTTCAGTTGTTGAATATCACTTGAGGTGCAGTCCGCCTCTAATTTCCCAACGCGTCTGTTTAAGCTACTAATGTCCTTTTCCTGCTTAGCTTGACAGTTCAAGATGTCATCGTACTTTTGTGACAACAGCTGGATTGAGAACTTAATCTCACCAACCTGAGCCGGCAGCCCTGCTAAAGCATCAAGCCTCCTAGTTATATCTGCCAGGCAAATGGTTAACTCAGAGTCCATGCTAGTTTTCTCCCCACTTTTCGCTTTAGATGAACGGCAAGCAGCACATCGCCATGCCCTGCGACCGCTCTCTCCTTTAGTCTTAAATGTCGTTTCCGACCAGCCAGAACAACTGCCAACATGGTAAGAGGACTCACATTCGTTGCACTTCAGGACACGCCCATCACAGGGGAGGGGCTCATCACAAGACTGGCACGTGCTTGTCATGGTACGTTGTCCAGGCATTCACAGTAGCACTCAGTTCGCACTCAATTCGGGAGCATTCAATTAGGAAAAAGGCACATTATGCACAGAGAACTCAGCAAAGCACTGAAACACGGTGGCAACGGCGGTAGCGGTAAGGCGGTATTGAGAAATAAGCGAATTTACCAACCTGGGTAAGCAAAAAGAGCTGATTAGGCGAACGTCCTTTCACCGCCGCCGCCGCCACCCGTGTGTCCAGGTACGATGTCGACGCCGGAAACACGTAAACACTTCCGCAGGCTCAGTGACGTCAAGATGTGATTCCGTAGCCACGGCAACCGTTTTCAGGTAGTCTAATAAATGGAGGAAATTTGAACGTTGTAAAGGAGCGCCGCTTTGATAAATGGCTCCAGCGCAACGATTCCAACAAGGCAGGAACCCTAAAGCACCGGCCGCCGAAATGCAGGACACCAACCTGGGTAAGCAAAAAGAGCTGATTAGGCGAACGTCCTTTCACCGCCGCCGCCGCCACCCGTGTGTCCAGGTACGATGTCGACGCCGGAAACACGTAAACACTTCCGCAGGCTCAGTGACGTCAAGATGTGATTCCGTAGCCACGGCAACCGTTTTCAGGTAGTCTGGGTAAGCAAAAAGAGCTGATTAGGCGAACGTCCTTTCACCGCCGCCGCCGCCACCCGTGTGTGAAATTTTTGTGAAAGTTTCTGACTGATTCGTTGTTTCTACTCCATGTGGTCGTTTCATTGTTCTTTGGTGCTTTGGGTAATTTGAAAACTCGATTAGACTACCTTTTCGGTGCCACATATTCAGTGTTCTCACGTTAGGTTAGTGTTGATCATTATTATATGCAAAGCATCCTATTGTCAAGCTCAGTCCGGTGGGTGGCGTAACCACACGAACTGCACATGTGCGCTCCTGCCCCTCTCTCCTTTTCTGTGCCCCCCACCCCTCATTCTCGCCTCAGAGCGCTGACGCAGACAGCGTCTGCTAGCCAACGCTTGCCCTCCAGGCATCCCTCCTAGCGGCGTTTACAACCCCATTTGCAGCTGCGCGTCCCCTTCCCCTCTCCCTCCTTTCCTACGCTCCCCTCTCACCTCCCAACGCTGACGCAGGCAGTCTGCTTGAGAGTTTCACAATCGAAAAGGCCGACTGCTTGCGCTGCCCAAACGTTCATTGGCCACTACTGGATCTTGACCTCCAAGGTAGAGCCGGTGGGAGAATTCTCCTGTGCGTTGTTGAACAACGAAAATTCGCAGCGTACGTGCTAACTAAACCCAAACTGCGGGTCTCTAGGTCCAATCGGAGTCTCTGTCTCTATTGCCCATTATAAGTGATCGGCATGTTTCAGTAGAAAACACCGGTCTATCACTGCGTGCTTTGCGTCTCCTCCGGTTTCTCTCCTGCACAACGCTGCGATGAGCGCCGGCTAATTCGCATCTACGCGTGGTTCCCTTTAGCGGAAGATTGGTTAATTTTTTTGCGTTGAATTACAACCTTTGCACCCTTGTGTGAATGTGTATTGTGGGCACATTTCGTGACATTCGTTACATGAGTGTGTACGGGTGAAAACTCATCCTTTTTGAAAGAAAAACTGCGAGCGCGTGGCCAGGGCTCTGCGGCGGCTGCCTACTGCACCATCAACCGACCGCCGAAAAATGCACGTCGGCCTCTGGTGTCATATATTGGCAAACAAAATAAAGATTCACGGCCGTTGGACAAGAGCCGGTAGAAAAGTATCCCTCTCCATTCTGATAACGGGCGGTGCCACCAAAAGCGGACGCACTTTCTTCAGGCGTCGGTTGATGGTGCTGTAAGCAGCTGTCGTAGAGAGCAGGCCACGCGTTCACGTGTTCCCTCACATAAAGGACGACATTGTTCCACAACACTTTTAGATATATGTCATCAACTTCTCATTTTCACTCTTTTAGCAATGGTGATACATTATTAGCATTGAATTCTTGGGATCCATTGCTGAGTGCCGGAATCCTACTTCCCTGATATCATCACGCTGTTTAATGGGCACAAAATATGTAGACAAAAATTTTGTTTGTAATCATGGAGGTGTGTAATTCTCAGCTCTAGTTCGTAGGGCCAACGGAAATAGGCAAAAAATTGGCTGCCTCTATTGGATCGATACGATATGAACAAAAGAAACCATATTACATGATAAATGCAGGTGAAAGTCAATTAGACCAACACTCATCTGATTACATTTAACACGCCCGAAGATCAACACAAACAAACCAGTAACTAAGAAGACTTCACAATAAATATAATAATTGTTGGGGGGGGGTTAACAATTCAAAACTACGGTATGATTATGAGAGATGCCGTTGTGGAGGGCCCCAGAAATTTCGACCATCTGGGGCTCCTTAGCGTGCACCTAAATTTAAGCACACGGGCCTCAAACATTTTCGCCCCCATAGGTGCCGCGGCTGGAATTTCATCTCGCGACCTGCGCGTGAGCAGCCGAGTGCCTTAGCCACCTGATCGCTGTGGCGGGTTCGACAACAACTATGACTGAACGTGTTTTCAACAGTCATAGTTTCACTTCACCAAACATATGAGGCTTTATACTAATAATTTGACTGTAAAATCATTCGAAACAGCCTCAACTTGAAATACGTACTTTTTTAAGCTAAAATCTTTGTTGTTTGCTTACGCTCTTGTGACTGTTGCTGAACAGGTTGCCTGACCAACTGCCTGCTGTCGTTCTCATTCGCTCGCAACCTGCGCCGGCTGACGGACCCGGTGGAGCCACCGGAGTTGGGTGCAGCTCAAGGAGTGCAGGCCATCAGCATGGCTTGGCTCATATGCGGACACACCTACTTCCTCACCGAGAACACGCACATGTTCAGTAAGTGAACAATGGGTTCTCGTTTCCTGCGCTTTTGTTTTGTGCTGCTGCTTTGTGTTTTACAATTCTCCATTGGTAATCAACTGGCAAGACCATTTCTTTAACTGGCATAACCAATGCGATAAACACACATGTCTTTAGGAATACGATTATATGAATTGACAAAGCTTTTTAATTGTGGCCGGTTACTTTCATTGATAGGTCTGATATCACAACTGGCTGGTATTTGTGTTGTCTATGAGCACGTGTAGCCTAACATAAATTTCTTGTTTTTCTTGATTATTTTATTACAAGGGCCCTAATTTTTGACCAGCCCTGCAAAGAGCTTATTTGTGGTTTCTGTGTTCCTCAGGTGGACTGCTGAGGGCCTATGACAACATCTCGAGTGACATCCTCTTCTCGCCTTTTGTGAATTACACGCTGGCTGCCAACACCTTCTTTCTTGTCACGTGAGTAACACAAAAGGTCTCATATAGTCTATGCTAGGGCAGAGAATCTTACTAGAAATAAGTGGCTAAAGGTCCCACGCTAGAAACCATGATATTTCCACGCTGCATGTTCACTAAATCTTTTCTTTTTTTAACAAGAAGGTTAGAATTTCAGCTTTTATTCATAGCGCGCATTCATATCTGGTAATTATTTGTGTGTGCAGTAAAGCATTAACTTGTAGTCTCGTGTAAATACTTTACTACAAAAAAAAAAAAACTGGAGCTGTGTCCGCGTGGGTGTAAAATATGCGTGCCATCTGAAAAGTTCATGCGGAAAAACACAAAAGCGTAGCTGACACGTGTTGAAGCTATAATAGTCTGTTTTCAGAATATAATGATAGTTTAAAGGATGCCTTTTGAATCAATACAGCCCCGCCACATGTAGTGATTTTGTTGAAACAAGAAAGCATCACTTTATCGCCAGAAATAGAGGACATTCTTTGTAATAAAATAATTAGCAGTATTTCATGACTTACTCTCGTTATGAACCTTTCCTTTTGCGATCAACAAATTCAAGCCATTCATTGCATAAGAAACATTGAAAATATATCATTATCCACTAAATATGCGTTTGTGTATTAGGTAGTAGTAGGACGCTATAACCCTTCGGTTTTTAATGCATGTTATTCGAAAAAGAAACTTTTATTGCGCGTTTTGTATAAAAACAACTTAGAATGCCATATTCTATTCGATGACAACTTTCGTATTCTGCCCCAGAAGTCTTCGTGCCAAATTGATATGTCATAAACACTAAAGTGATTTAATCTTAAAACTTTATTAAATCATGTAAACCATTAAGATTAATTAGGAAAGTTCTGCTGGTTAGCTATTCCTAACATTTGTGTCACCACCCTCACCTCTAAGTAATTCCTGCTTATTATAAAATTATGGCTGATTGAAGAATGTGTCCCATCTTTTAGGTTTTTACATTGCTTCAGAACTTGCAGTATGATGCATCACTGGGCGTCCACTAAATAATATTCCTTCGATCTTCTTCTTAGCTGATCGCTATATATTCATGGAAGAAGCGTTGGCAGACTGGAAAATAAACACTTCCTTTGTATAGTCCTTTATCACGTGGTTTTGATGGTGAGGAACGCAGAGCTCAAGCCGGTAAAGACAGAGCTCTTTGTTAGGCGAACCTTTGTCTAGCAAAAGAAGCAACTACGTAACGATCCCCGTACTACAATAGCGACTAGAACAGTTGCCGGTCTCTGATAATCTGATCACCAGTAAAACTGGTCTTCTTTTATGCATGTGTGATTCAACATTCTAGTGTTATCACTGGCACTCGCGTTAGCTCCAGAGTAAACTCAACTAGTAGCACATGAGCGCAATCTTTTCAGTAGAGCCTAACAGTCCCGAAAGTTGCGAAACATTCCGGTGCCACATGCGCTGATCGGAGGTAACACATGCAACAGTTCCTGTGTGTGAAGCTTGGTTCAGTGAAAATAAAGAAAGAAACGTGCATTGCAATGTCATTGTCATTAACCTTGAAGTGAAAATGAAATCAATTGGTTACTATGAAAAGTTAAGGCGCCATGAAAAGTTATGTGTGGGATCTCGGGTGATATATCATTGACTTTCACTTCATTCTATTCCATACCTTCTTGATCAGACACTGCTCCTGGCCGGCTAACTTTGGGGGTCATGTACGTAAGTTGGAAGCCCCTAAGGACCATGCATGAATTCTCCCCCCCCCCAAAAAAAAATAAAATAAAAATAAAAATCAGAGAAGTTTGAATAGAATTTTTATATTATTCGATGCTAGGGTAGCACTATTACAAATCTGTTCCAAAGATGACATTATTCAAGGACGCCATACATGTGAACTAATGGCCTTTGAAGTCAATTTGACAAATCAGGCAAAGGCGAAATACCACGTCACTTACACTCAGGCGCTAACGTGACATGTACTGATAAAGTAGTTATAATAATGACGTCACTCTCAGAGGCTTTGGTTTGTGTGTTGTAATGTTCTTTTTTTTTAATGTTCACTGTTGCGTGAAAACTTGTCCCAAGAAGACAGCGAACGAACATGCAAGCAATAACGAAGTTTAATCCAGTGGAATCCATAGTTGCATATGGCCCAATTTTGAAGTGCTTGGGAAGTGTGGGGTGAGGGGCGACGCACTTTTCTCGATGGACAGTCCTATAAAAGTGGCGAACTGGTAAACATTTAGGACCAAACATTTCTGGATCTACACATCATGAATTCAAAAGATTTCAATGGCGGGAGGTACCTATGTCTAATGAACAGCTGCCATAAATATTAAAAGAATTCACAGTTTATTCGCAAGGGTGAAGCAATAAATGCTATAGCTGCAATAGCTACTAATTGGTATGCAACGCAAAGAACAGAAATAATCTTGAAACGTGCAGCGTGCTTCTGAAGCACAGCGGACACATGAAGAGAACACGAAGGATGGGCGTGTACTAACAAGTTTTTTTTTTTTTTAGCTAGAAAGTTGAAGTACACTGCTCAAACATAAAAAAAAAACATCAAACCAACGCGCAAGTATGCATAGGACAATCACAAACCAACCAATGTCACAGCTGTTGCTCCTTTGTCTTTAAGCAGAGTGCTCCTTTCGCATCCACGGCCGCCGCAGTGAGCGAAATGCCCTTCGTACGCTCTGTAACTTCAACGCAAACTCTGAGCTGGTATCACAAGACGTACAAAACACCCCCATTTCGAGATAAGAGCGTTTGCATGGGCGGCCATGCCTTGTAGGGCAAAGTACAGGTGGTAGAACTAGCAGGCACGCGTGCATTTCATTCACGACTTTTAAGGCACGCCCTTCGTGCCATCTCACTGGAGAAAGCAAGAACATGCTGAAGCACCCCCGAGCTCTGTTTACCAATAGCGGTAAATAGTGTATATAAATATCTAGCTGTTAGTATGCTCAAGGACCTATGCTTTGTGATTCAGTCATCTAACGCAGCACACTGTGGAGCGAGGAATCGCAAGTTTTAATACACGGTCGCACGTTTCGGGAAATATTTTCGAGAATTTTTTTTCGTTGCTTTTATATGTATACGTATAATACCCACAAATACATATACGGAAGATGCTGGCTATAAATTGATAACAACGACGACAACGACGGGAAGAACATGCAGAGTGTCCACATAATTGCTATCTCAATAAAATACTGTCAAAATACCGTGAATGCAGTATACGACATCGTATAAAATGTTTATACATAACTTTATCGCCTCAATACAAACCCAGAACGGAGCAAGCAATAATTATGTTGGCTTCTTGAAGCTTGGTAACGTTCCTAAGAGCGCCACAATAACGTTATTTACAAATTTCGGTTCTCTCTAGATGGAAACTTGAAAAAAATATCAAACTCTCTTCGTATGCATTGATCAGACAGGAAACATGTTAGCTTGAAGAGATGCTGCCTCGTAATGCCGCGGGAAAATCGAACCTGGGTTAAACAGAAAAAAAAATACTGCAGCGCATCGTTGTATAAATGACATGCGAGAGAGAGAATATCTGGCTAAAGTCAAATAAACGGTGGCATAGATAATTCGGCCGCTTTCACTTCTCTTCATTCTAGGTCTGCCCGATGCGCTTGACTCAATATTTTTCACCAGACGCTTTCGGCCATCGCTCAATGAAGTGATTGGCTAATACTAGCGCGTCGACCTCGTCCATTCCTATGCGACGCCAATCGTTGTAGTTGAGCGATTTCCGAAAGAAGGAACGTTTATAAATGGCTAAACAGCAAAAAGAGAAAAATTAATAAAATTAGAAAGAAATAATATTTATTTTAGGGGCGAAGCTCCTTAGGGCGTGGGCTGTGCGTCCCCTGTAGCCTGTATGTAGCCACCTCTAGTTTAGTTCTTGCAGTGTTCACTAGATGGCGGTACCGTCCCCTGTATGTAGCCACCTCTAGTTTAGTTCTTGCAGTGTTCACTAGATGGCGGTACCGTCTCCTGTATGTAGCCACCTCTCGTTTAGTTCTTGTAGTGTTTACTAGATGGTGGTACTTGTAGCTGATGATGAAAAGATGCAAGATGTTATAAACTAGAAAGCGGTACTTGTAGTTGATGAAAGACGCGAGATCTTATAAAATAGGAATGATGTCACATATCGCGCGTGTCATTGGTTGAAGGCAATCTTTCGATTTAGTGCGGCGACGTACGCTAGGGGGAGCGTTGTAATAAAATCCGTGCAGGACGAAGTCAAAAAAATATGGGAAATATATTTAGAGAAAAAATCCCTTGTACAGAAATTGGTAGAGGCAAAAATTAAAGGTGAAAGGGAACGCTGGATGACAGAGATACACGAAAAAAAGGAGGCCGCGCCTAGGATTTTTTGGAGCCACATAAAGGCGCTAGGTAGGAAGTCTGTCACAACGCAACAACATATTCTAGATGAAGGAGGAAATCAATTGGAAGGGTACGAAGCGCTAGGTTACATCCAATAGGTAACAGCCGATTCGTTTCAAAAGAGCGTCCAGGGGATCTCCCCGGTGAGTAAAAGTGTGGCGGAGAAAGCAACAGAGGAAGAGCTAGTACTTGATAATTTCAACTGGAAAAAGGCCGAAGGAAAAATTCCAAAGCGCACTGCCGCGGGTTTAGATGAGATTCCCGTTAGCCTCATTAACGAACTAGGACATAACACTAAAGAAGCATTGTTAAAAGCAGTAGAAAAAAGCTTAAAGGACGGACAAATACCGGACAGTTGGCGACAAAGTAGAATGAACTTAATCTATAAAGGCAAGGGAGAAAAGGACAAGATTCGCTCGTATAGACCACTAACCATTACATCGGTACTATACAGGATGGCGATGCAAGCAGTAAAAATGAAAATAGAAACATGGGCCGAACATAACGATATTTTGGGAGAACTTCAGAACGGATTTCGAGTCGACAGGCGGTTAGACGATAACCTGTTTGTTCTCACTCAGTGTATAGAAATATCTAAAATAGAGAATAGGCCCTTGTACGTGGCTTTTCTAGACATCACTGGGGCATACGACAACGTTAATCAGGAAATTTTGTGGGATATATTGAAAGGAATGGGCATGGGCGACGACTGTATACAGCTTTTGAGGAAGATATACCGAGAAAATACAGTTTGCATAGAGTGGGAAGGAATGCGTAGCAAAGAGAACGTTGAGGTTAGCAGGGGTCTGAGACAGGGATGTCCTTTGTCCCCACTGTTATTCATGCTGTACATGGTGAGTATGGAAAAAGCGCTAGAAGGTAGCAACATTGGTTTTAATCTGTCACACAAACAGGGCGGCATGATGATTGAGCAGAAGCTTCCAGGTTTATTTTATGCGGACGATATCGTCTTATTTGCGGACAGTCGAGATGATATACAGCAGCTGGCGAATATATGCGGAAGGGAAGGTGAAGCTCTTGGACTAGGATTCAGTGTAACGAAGTGTGGTTTGATGGTATTCAATGATCCCTGTGATCAGACGGTGTCCATACAAGGCCAAGAAATACCGAGGGTAAGTGAATACAAGTACCTTGGAGTATGGGTAAATGAGAGTGATAGATACATGGAGGTACAGGAAAAAGCCTCGGCAGCAAAAGGAAAGAGGAATGCGGCAATAATGAAGCACAGAGCGTTGTGGGGATACAATAGGTATGAGGTGCTTCGAGGTCTGTGGAAGGGTGTAATGGTTCCAGGGCTTACTTTGGGAACTCAGTGGTGTGCATGAGGGCAGAGGTGCAATCGGGAATGGATGTAAATCAAAGGACTGTGGGACGCCTCGCGTTGGGTGCTCACGGGAAGACGACAAACGAGGCTGTAAAGGGCGATATGGGGTGGGCAGGTTTTGAGGCGAGGGAAGCGCAGAGCAAAATAAGGTTCGAAGAAAGGCTAAGAAATATGAAGGAGAGTAGATGGGCAGAGAAGGTGTTCCGTTATTTGTATAGGAAGAGCGTGGACACACAGTGGAGAAAAGAACTAGAAGACTCACTAGTAAATATACGGCTGGTATTGTGAGCCATATGTCAACAAAGAGCGTTAAGGGAAAAGTCAGGGAGGCGGAGAGGATTTACTGGATGGCACCTATGGAGAAAAAACCGGCTTTGAGTAACTACCGAAAGGGCAAAAATGAAATAAGGAGGGAGGCATTTTACGATAATTCAAGGGGAAGCGCTTTACTGTTTGAAGCGAGATCGGGTTGCCTTAGAACGCGTAGTTATAAAGCAAGATTCAGTAAAGAAGAAGAACAATGCACATGCTGCGGGAAAGATAAGGAAACGGCGGAGCATGTTCTGATTGAATGTGGAGATATCCACCCAGGTGTACGTTTGGGCACGAGCCTACAGGAAGCCTTGGGTTTTAGGGACAACAATGGAAAGCTGAACACACCCGCGATTGAAATAAGTAAGAGACGGTTAGAGTATTGGTGGCAGAAAATTAGAGAGAAAGGACAAAAATAAATATTGGAAAAATAAAATATGGACAGTGTGCCATAAATGGCAGAGAACTTAAGCTGAAAATTTACCTTTTTTCCATTAAGATAGAATTTATCGAAGTAGAGGCATTAGGCCAACATAAAAAAAAAGAAAAAAGGGTTTTTTTTTTTTTGTCGAGCCTGGTGGCATACTTGTCACCACCCCGTTATAAAGGGGACGCTCATAGCATCCATCCATCCATCGTTCGCTGTTGGCGCGCGCTCGGAGTCGCCGGATGGATAAGGCTGCACAGCGGAGAGAGCGCAAGGCGGCAGCAGCGCGCGCTCGCAGACAGAATCCCGATGTGCGAGCGCGCGAGGCAAGGGACATCGCAAGCCATCCATCGTCTAAGAACAAATAAAAGTTGATTTGTGTATATACACACACAGCGTTTCTCACGTCTTTACATGATGATCGACTGGGCGAATTGCACGGAAGATTCACAGTTTACCGATGAATCCCTCCGGAGCTTCGCCCATTCATCATCATTCACCCCGTGAATATGCCTTAATTTTTTTGTATTTGTCTGTTCATGAGTTTAATTACTAATGTACATTGTTCTCCCTATATAAAGTTCAGTGACAAAGAATGAAAAAATGATCTACAAAAAATTTTTTTGAAGTCTTGTAAAATAACGCTTCCAAACTAGTACCTCTTATTTGTAAACATATTTTCATCAGTTCAATATAACCAGTAATCCAGCCGTGTATGTGATCAACAATTAAGCAAAAACGCTGTGCCATTCTTTTTTACAGCACCAGTTCCAAAATTACCTTTCCTCTGCACTTGTAGTTTCTGTACTTTTTGTTATTTTTCTGGCCAGCCGCCCTCTTACGCTGTAGTAGTCATTTGTGGTAAGTAAATGATTAGTCCTGAGTCACGGTGACAGTGAACGGCAGAACATTACTCGAACGTTGTTATTATTTCTGCGCAGCATTATGACAGAGGGGCTGTGGAATGAGCTAGTGATACCAGTTTTGTTACTTTCTTTGTCTGATATGTTTTATTGTGGCCTATAGGAACATTTTGAAAAAGTGTACTTATTAAACTTTATGTTATTTGTTTGCACACTTCCCAATTATTTACATATTTCTGGATGTGTTTGCGCTGCCCGCAGAGTGTACACGGCATGACGCCCTGTAGAAAGTATGCATAGACAATGCCTTGTCTTTCTCGATCCAGCTGTCGACTAAAAATTAATTTAATTTTGTCTAACACATTTGCAGCGGCCTATTCCTGGCCTACAAAAGCGAGCTGTACTCTTACAAGTCGGTCTTCAGCATTCTCCTGCAGAAATACTTCCGGTGAGTGCGTGCAACTCTTGTAGCACTTCCTTTTAAGGTTGGCAAAACGGTCTTCTGTACCAGTCTCTGGCACACAGGCTTATCGCCTAAGCTTAAACTGGATTTCTCATTCTTTTCACTTGATAGTTTTCTCGATTTTATCTTAATTTCTCACTTCTACGCACATTGCAACATTCAAAACTGCACCGTACTGCCTACCCCGACGCGATGGTCTAGTGGGTAAGGTACTCGGCTGCTGACCCGCAGGCATAGAGTTTCGCAAAATTAACTAGAGGGCACTCTGGCGCTGCGATCGTACAGTGACCATGGGAATGATGGGTAGTACACACATTTGCCTAGTCTTCGTACTTGCGGGTGGCGAATCGTACTTGCGGCTTCGTTTATTGCTGTGTTTCAGTTTTGTTTTGAAAGAAAAAACAAACCCTTTTGAACTTAGGGACTTGATTCGAAATAGTAAGCTTAAAAGAATAATGTTGTGAAGCGCAAACGGTGAACATTTGTTCATTTATGTTTTCGTGAAAAAACAGCTCCAAGTCACATGAACACACACGGAGCCAGAAGCAGGCCAGAAGTACGAAAATTAGACAAATGTGGGTACTACCCATCATTCCCAAGCTCGCTAAAGCGCCGTGTGTTGCAACTCCCATAGACACTAGCGCCAGAGTTCCCTCTAGTTAGTACTGTGGGAAACTCTATGCCCGCAGGTCAGCGGCCGAGTACCTTACCTACTAGCCGAGTTCGTATCCCGGCTGCGCCAGCTGCATTTCCGATGGAGGCGGAAATGTTGAAGGCCCGTGTGCTCAGATTTGGGTGCACGCTAAAGAACCCCAGGTGGTCGAAATTTCCGGAGCCCTCCACTATGGCGTCTCTCATAATCATATGGTGGTTTTCGGACGTTAAACCTCACATATCAATCAATCATGCATCGTACTGCCTGGCAGCTGATTGGAAAAGGATAGGAAAACACCGCAAAAACGCATCCGAATGTTTTAAAGCAGACATGCAGCGCCACCTAGAAATGAGAAAGAGTAATACAAACAGTGGCGCGCCGCTTCCGAGACCATCGGTGTGACTCGGTCACGATGCCGTTTTATGGCGGCCTATTCAACTTTTTCGGGAGGTGCAAATCGATATCACAAAGGAAAATTCAGGTGTCACTTAGCTGCAGCACCGGATTATGGGTGCAAACCAGTGCCATCGACAAGAGGGCGCAGAAAGGAGGACAGAGAGCGCCGACGCTCTGTGTCCTTCAGCGCTCTTTGTACTTTCTTTTCTGTCCCCTTCTGTCAGCTGATTTGGTATCATAATCACGGTCGTACCAATACGCCCGATTCCAAAGTTTTCTAAATTTCATGCAGCACTAGAATTGAACAAAGAATCAGAGCATGGCAAAATAAATCAATTTCGAGAGTTTTTACGGTGATAAATTGTGTTTAAAGTTCAATATAAATTGCGCATGTTAACTTTGATATAAATAATTGGTAGGAAGAGTAACAAAGCTTACCTGCATTGTACTAAAATGGTATTCAGAAGCAGTACCTTTTTATTGGAAAGTCCATGAAGTAACTAACGAATGTTTGCGGGTAGTGGTGGCTTCTTAGTTTGACTTTGACCCCAAAAATGTCTTTATATTTTCAGCCTCGTGGTTTAGAAGCTGCCTTCTATCACTGTGATATTAGCCCACACCTGCAACAAGCCTATCTCAAAGTTTTCGTGTGTAACGAAAGTTTTCAGAGTGTGGCTCTAGCTTAGCAAGATGTGGTGAAAAAAACCACGGAAAGAAAAGGGTTATCATGTGACGTACTTGGGAGGGGCTATTGTTAATGGTTTTGCGCGTGGTGCTCAGCATGACACCACCATTCTTGGCCGTGCTGAGTGTCCTCCTGCTGCTACCACTGACCAGCGACGGGCCCTTCTGGCAGGATTATGCTGGCGCTGAGATCGAACGTTGCTCGGCGGTGTGGTGGACCAATCTATTCTATATAAGCAATTTCTGGAATGCGGAAAACATGGTGAGTTACAACTTTATTGTCAGTGAGGATGTTACACGAATAAAGGGAGGGAAACAGTGAGCAGAGTTGCATGAGCCCCTATGGGGGTTCTTGAGTTCTCCTTGCCAGCCTTGCCAGTTAACATTGACAATGCATCGATATCCCCCCCAAAAAAATGGTGCATAAAATGCTGCGCTGCCATTTCGGCTTGTGACTTTTCAGCAGCGTTGGTACAAATCTATGCTACAAACAGGCATTTTTTTACACAATGTAGCGAAAACTGCATTGTCTTTTTTTTTTTTCTGACAAGTACAGTGCTCAACTCTCATGTCTATAACGACGGAGTGTTGTGCGCGGAACAGCACGAGCGACATCTACAGTCGCAAATACGTCACATCTGAGCATGCGCGGCGCTAGTGATGTGCCTGCCTTGCAATACTCATCCCTGTTTATCACCGCTGATGCAACAACTGCTTCGGCCATCGAAATCGCTCTGGACCATTTAACGAAAAAACAAAAAGCGAGCAATAAAAACGAAGCGAACCATTCTCGCTGTGATATGATATCACAAAGCGAGAATAAGTTTAGAGTATAAAAGACGCCTGTCCGGAAAATTGTTGGTTTATTTTTTTTTCCAGTTCTATAAGGCAGGTAGCGCTTTGACGGCCAAAGCAGTCATCGCTGCAGCGGAGATAGAGAAGGGTGGAAACTGCAAGGAGTTCCCATCACTGGCGCCACGCATGCTCAGATGTGGCGTATATGACTGCAGATGTCGCTCGTGTTGTTCCGGGTGCAACGATCCATCGTTATAGACATGAAAGTTGAACACTGTACATGTTTACATTAGTTGTTACTTTTTCAGCGAAGCAGGATTTTCTGCAGAAATGAAGTTTGGTGGTGGGGTGAAGCGTATAGGCTTCATTCAAGCTCTCAGTTATGTGAACATCATTAGTATGAAACCATGGGTAATTGGGCGTTATATAACGTGCTTGAAGACGCAGCGAGAAAACCACATTGCGGCGTCTGTATCAGCAACACCAGCAGCTGTGGTAACAATGTTATTCTATTTCACAACGTGACATGGTAGCATTATGTTCTGTAAAAAGATAAACTTATCCAATTGTCACACTCCCCGGGTTCACATCAGGCTGCGTAGCATAGAGCCACCTCAAGTTTGAGCTTTTTGTCGTCCACGTTCAGTTAGCGAAGCGTCACGGCACGTGATATTTCAATAAAATTTATGAAAAAGTAAGCGTGCCTATGATGCCCGGCGTCTGACCATATGCTTTGGCATCCGACACGACTGCTCCAGACAAAAATGGAACCCGCCTAGCCTCAAAACACAGGGTATATGTTATGTTCCATAGTGTGAATAAAACGTACATTGGAAGCCAAAACATCATTAGCCATAAGTTATTTCGTTTCTTTGCGTCTATTTCCTACCGTCCTGTTTTCTTGCATTTACGGTGGCTTTGAGCCCAAGTATGCTTTTCGCGACAAAAAAACTTATCTATGCTACTATACCCTTTAAAGATTGAAACATATTTGTGGAATCACCTGGCGTGGTCAAATGCAGGGAACCTTTGTAGAGTGGAAATAATGCGTAAGATATCTGCAAAATGTAACATTAGCTCAATAGACTTTACGGACAAAAGGCGAGTTAACAAGCCCGCATAGCACCACATAATGTTTTGAAGAGGGTACCACGTGACTTTTTAAGTGCGCCTGATTATGATGTAACATTTTATTTGTTGCTCTAAACTGGCATTATTATGCTTCCCAATGACTGCATCACTGGCAAGCGAGGTATTGAAAGGGTGTACTTCACGGCGCCTACTCACAGCAGAAAACAAGAGCCTGGTAGCAAAGTACTTCGTTGTCAGTAAAGCTAAATGCTTTGATACAGAAAAAAAAAATACGAAACGCATCATTGGGAAACAGTTCAGCAAAGGTGCATTAAATTTCAGGAGTGAAAAGATGTTGATTGACCACCTTTCAAAACACCCCTTAAAAAGACAAGTTTAATTTTCAAATATTCTTCCGCGCTTTTTTTTGTGTCAAATTATGTGCTGAGGGTACAAATTAGGGTGAGGGGTCGCATGCACATTGTGCGAATAACTATACGCGCATTCCAGAGGGGCATAATATAAATTATATATGACTGTGCACTCACTTCCAAAGAATATTTTTTGTTTTCACAATTTGATATCAAATATTGAGAATGAACATTCTCACCTTGTTTCCGAGCTATGCCTAGACAATTCACTGCCTTATTTTCTGCTGCCCTGAAAAAACTTATGGGTCACACCTTACAACTGCGTGATTGTGTTGAGGAAGCTTAGTTTACTTTCACAATTGCGTGATTAATTGAACATTGCCTCATGTAAGTATCATTGCCCCTTTTTCCATGTCTTGGATGTGACCACATTGTCACTGTAACTGTTACTGCTGTTTATACCACTACAGTACACTCTGACCATTGTCACCTCAGGTTGCATCATTTTCAGCCCTCCGCGCTTGCCTATTTTGATCTACGGTAAGCTCAGAAGCGCAATATGCATGCAGTGTCTTTATTGTGCAGCTGAGCACATGCTCGCCCCAGACTGACACGTAAAAGGATAAAATAGGGGTCATTAAAAGGATAGTACCTTCATGAAGGTCGAAGTTTGAATATTCTTTTAATTTCAAACAACTCGAGTTGTTTTTAGGGTAAAGCTGTGTGCTACGCTTACACAGAGACGCCTCAGTACACGTATAACGTAAAGATATAAGAAGGAAAGCCCGAAAGTAAACTTCTCCTCACACGTTTTCTTGATGTGAAAGAGCCAGCTTTACAAGTACTTCTTTCATTGGCATACATACGAAACCAAGTCGTATTACCAAGAATAGATGTCAACTAACAAATTTTAGCCAACATCTTGATTCAGTCGCTATGAAGTTTGGCAACTGAGCGATTGGGTTTCCGTTGTAATACAGGTGCAGTTCTAACAAACCCGCAAAGATGTATGCCCAAAAATGTTTGCATGGTTGAACGGAATCTGGAGATGACTGTCGTAATTCGAACGACCTACTTTCACAACCAACGCGCTATTTTTTTAAAATAAAGCTCTTTAGTGTTGAAGTATCTAAGCGAATTCTGCGGTTCCGCAATTTTATAAATTGAATACGGGGGGGGGGGGGGGAGTACTTAAAAATGAGCAATATTTTGACTAATTTTAATGGGTGAGCTTGGCATCTGTGAAAGAAGCGGTGAATGGTATGGATATTCGTACATATACGATAGAGGATGAGAGAAATATGCTGCGCGGAATGACTTGGCATTCTCTTTTATGTTTCAGAACCAAAAGTTTCAAGTATAAAGATAGTCTATGAACTATAACTGACCTCGTAAAATAGTGGTCATCATATTAGCCAAATGTGATACATGGCTATAAGACTTCTGAAAAAGAAAGTGCATAATTTCAGCTCAAGCAGCGCATTATTTAGTGGGTTTTCCAAAGCAAATTGGTTCCAAACAAATAGCATATTTTTCTGGCTCAGCTGCAGGGTGGACGCAGGCATTACTGGACGCTGTGTGTTTCTAACTATGCGTATATTGTTTTAGTTTCCTGAGAAACTTTTTCAAACTTGTTATTACAGTGCCGTAAAAAATATAAATAAATGATGAATGCAACAAAAACAGGAGAGGAAGGGCAAATAACGGGAAGGAAAAGATGGCCGAGCATGTTTTCAATCTCCCCCCCTCCTTTTTTTTCCCTTTTTTGACCCTTTTTGCTGCTTCCTCATGTTCTAACCGGGCTGTAACAAGTTTGAAAAATAAAATATTAATTGTTTTGATCTCGGAATCAGCTGACTCTACTCCTAAGAAAAGTTTCAGGATGGTACGGCATTCGTTACTACTGCTCACAAGACAGAGCTAACTGTATAGGTTACTCATATTGAACGACACCAGCATACGTGGTAGGGCAGTAGCCGAGGTCTCTAAAGAAGCTTTAATCACCAAGACATCTATCCCGTTTTCGGGAGAGAAACTAAGATCTCGTTTACAAGTATTAGTTTTTGTCGTCATTCTCCTTAAGAGTGCGACCACCACGGCATCATGTGGGAATTGTGTGTTCGTCCACTTGCCACGACAAGGGTGGCTGCGTTACCGCAATCGTCCTTTGGGGTGCTTAATATTTGTTCGCAAAACCATTCTAAACAACAGGACGTCGCATAGAACAAAAAGCTGGAAACTGTTACTCGTTTGATGCGCGTTATCACTGATATCTTAAGCAGAAGACAAACGTAATGAATTAACAATGAAGTGCCCTGCTGACGACCTTCTAGTGTACTGAAAAAAGAAATAGTATCCTACTTCTATTGAGTGCATTCACAACGTCATTTTGGATTTGACAGCCGAGTATAATGTGTTAATAGGGTTAAAGCAAATTGAAATCTCAGTGATCGCAGTACAGTAAATGGGAGGACAAGAGTGTTTCTGAGTAAACTTTTCGCGTATATAACGTTGAAAGTTTTCTAAATGTTAGCGTGATCGTGACTAATAAACGTTCGCATTGCTTTTTTTTTCCAACGCTTGCTCGACTGCTACAAAAAAAAAAATCTTCTCAGTACCTATTACTCCCTGCGTGACCTCTAAAATGTTTTTCCCTCTTTCAGTGCCTGTTCGTCACATGGTACCCTGCCACAGTTATACAATACACCATCGTAGGGCTCATCTTTCTTGTTGTCATCAAAAGGTGACGTTAGCTTTGCTCCGATTCATTGACTGTCTTTTGATATTTTCTACTTGTTTGGGCTTACTACACTTTGCATGAGTTAGCATAATCAAGGCTCGCATTATTATCACGCTGATATTTTTGTACCACAGAGTGTACTCAATATTCATTATGTTGGTTTCCTTGACGACTACCTAATGATTCCATGTTAAGAATGCGTAAATCATGTTTTCAATGCTACGGAGGCCCCGTATGTTGTTATTTCATATAGCGATTTTTGGTGCGAAACATGAATAAATAATAAGCCTATATTTATTGTTTTATATACCCTAAAGGACTCAAGGTCATATTAGCCCTAATTTGTGACGTTTTATGATATAAAGCTCTTCCCTGAAATATACAGCTGAAATTATAAATTTATGAATGCTACGGAGTTTTAGAATGACTGGACGACCATTGCATTTTTTTATATCACCGTGTTAGTTTTCGGGCATAAATTTTGGTTTTAAAATAAGCTTGTCGCCGTGCTAGTTTGCCCTAGCCGTTTGCATAAATGTAATCTGAAGTGACACCATGAACAGGAAACAACTTAACTTTTTGTCACTTTGCATAAATACAACCGCGAAAGTGAAGAAGGGAAAGCCTATCATCATTTTTAATGTGGTAGTTAACCATACGTTTATACAAAGTATCTATAGGTTAGCATGTCATCTGGATAATGCCCGCTGAACGGAGAGCACAAAAAGGTCATTCCGGTTTTTTTTTTTTTTGCTCACGCAAGAAAATACTTTAGGATATTTAGGCTTGCAACGAGTTTTCTTCTCTTTCGTAAAACTCGCAGAAATGCAAAGCTTGGCTACAGTGGCGTCCTCGGCTTCGCCCTCGCTGGTTGCGTAGTCACAGGAGCCATCACGTTCGCCAAGGATTTGCCCCCAGGAAACATCTTCGAGCCGAATTACAGGTACCCAGCGTGCTTTCTCGTGATCGAAGTACCTTGGCGTCTAGTGCATATTTGTTATGCTATAGCAGAATCTATGTTATTAGGTTATGCCATTACATCACTTATCAGCATCCGTTGGCTGTCTCTCGATCCACTACGACAGAGTCAGCAAGGTATCCATGTGGAGAAAACATATTTATTATGTTTGATGCGTGTGCGCTGACTACATTTCAACATTATTACCGGCGAGTACTTGCGGCATGAAACTAAATAAAAAATGAAATGAGAATGCTGAATGCACTGTGCCAAGCACGTTGTCCCAAGCCTTTTCCCCTGATTTGGTCCCGACGTCGCGCTGTCGGCTTCCCGAAAAAAAAAATATATGTGGCATTTAGCGCAAAGTCGACTTTATCTTATGGAAAGGAAAACACGAATCACAGATGAGGCCTATAGTAGTCTTAATTGCCAAGTATTAGAAGCCCACACATGAGTCCTTCGTCAACTTCCCGGTGAGACGACATTTCACAAAGCATACTCGCGTGCAGCTATACTGTTTTCGTTATACGTACACAGACAATATACGCGCTCCAGCGAATCCTTCCAGAATATGCGTCCTTGTTCTTGCTGAAAGATACGCCCGAAACAGTTACTGTAGTACGCAATGGCAATGATTATTCCGTGGGTTACACTTTGAAGGAACAAAAGTAAGTACAAGAACAAGGCTAATCGACAAGGGTATATGATGCACGTGCAATGTCCCCATAACTCATTGCCCTAAAGCTTGTGAAAAATGTGAAATGGCATTGCTAGTGGTTACTGTATGACAAATACGCGAAAGAAAAAAATTCTGAGGTCTGTTTAAAAGTACTTGGGGTAATTCTAGCTCATGACAAAGGTTTACGTAAACCTTAATTAAGAAATGTTGTAATTTCTTCTGCGTGAAGACGTTTCATTTAGATGATATTAGAAGGTACGGGATCAAAAGTGTTTATCTCCTGTTAAGTTATTCATCAGTGCTGATTGATTGATTGATTTGTGGGGTTTAACGTCCCAAAACCACCATTTGATTATGAGAGACGCCGTAGTGGAGGGCTCCGGAAATTTTGACCCCCTGGGGTTCTTTAACGTGCACCCAAATCTGAGTACACGGGCCTACAACATTTCCGCCTCCATCGGAAATGCAGCCGCCGCAGCCGGGAATCGAACCCGCGACCTGCGGGTCAGCAGCCGAGTACCTTAGCCACTAGACCACCGCGGCGGGGCTATTCATCAGTGCGTAATGCAATTTGCTATTTTGCGTTACTTTTCTGACGGGATCATAAACATCAAGCGTACCTCTCCAGCACTTTACAAACCTAAGCAGAAAAATCAAAGAAGCTGGCATTCGACGTACCACTAAGCATCAAACCAATTTTCAAAAGAGTGCACAACTTGTGTGGCCAGTTTTACTTTACTTAATTTGCCAGTCTCAAATAAAGTAATCTTTCGTATGTCCTGTCAAAGGCTATCCAGTAATCTACGAGTGAAAGTGTAACTGTATCGATAACTTATATGTGTGTTTTCTTACTTATCTGGGTATTTCACGTATTTCTAAGCGGTGAAACAAAGAGTTTCCTAAAATTATCTAGAGGGAACTCTGTCATTGCGATCGTCCAGCGACCATGGGATTTATGGGTAGTACACACATTTGCCTCGTCTTCGTACTTGCGGGTGGTGAATCGTACTAGCGGCTTCGTTAATTGCTGTATTTCGGTTTTGTTTTGAAAGAAAGATTCAACCCTTTTGAACTTCGTGACCCGATTTGGAAAGGTAAATCTAATAGAATATGGTGGTGAAGCGCAACCGCTGAACATTTGGTTATTTTTGTTTCGTGAAGACACAGCTCCAAGCCACACGAACGCACACGGAGCCAAAAAGAGGCCAGAAGTACGAAGATTAGACAAATGTGTGTACTACCCATCATTCGCATGCTCGCTGAAGCGCCGCGCGTTGCAGCTCCTAAAGACACTAGCGCCAGAGTTCCCTCTAGGGCATATTAGGAAATTCTATGTGATGAACGATGCCTCAATTACGGGAAGTCATATAAAGACGACGTGGTTGCATAGCTGACCACTGCGCTTGCGGCGTGCTGCTTTATCGTTGCTATGTGTATTCTTTTTAGGGAAGTCGAGCGCCTCGCCACTTGGATATACCACAAGCCATACACACATTTGGGATCATTTTGCGTTGGCCTTGGACTGGGATGCCTCCTTAGCCAGTTCGACAAAAATCGGCTTTCAAAGGTAGGCAAGAACCACTTATATATAAAACTGTTCCATTTTACGATTGAGCGTTTCTAATATGGTGAGTGCGACTAGCGCTCCCTCTACCTTTGTTCACTAGTGTGTCATTTCAATTCAATCTTAACATGCTCCATAATTACAGCAGAGCTTGGCAAGGCATTAGTTAACCAATGCGGTACCGTATTATTCAAAATGTCTCATACGATGGAATTTTCGGTAAGAGAAAGTTGTAGCCAATCCGTATTATTGGAGTAGTTGGCTGGTCACGTACTTATAAAGTATTTGAGTAGTTGGCTGGTCACGTACTTATAAAGTAATACATGTCCTGAGCCTTATGAGGAAGCTTTACTATCAAAGTTTGTACTGACATAAATTTGAATGAACAAACCATTGTTCGGATACTACTGTATCGAACTTTTTCAGATGTCATTCATGCTTCGTTAGTTGGCTCACGGTCGCCTACAGATAGCAGGCAAATAAAAAGGCAACGCAAGAAAGACAACAAGTGTTTTGGCAAGAAGCGAAGTTTATTCGCGGAACACAGGCACACGAACCGTCTCCGTCAAATTCGCGTGCTTAAGTAATGGCACGAGATGTGTGCAGATTTGACTAAGTCTATTTCTCCGAATGTGTTCCGGGAATAAATCTGATTTATGGAAGACCATGCCAAAGTTGCTGCTTTTCTTCTTCTGTCATTTTAAAATACCCCGCTATTCAAAGGTGACGATGATGAGGTATATTACATTTACAGGGAAAAAGGCTAAAATTGACCGATTCTAGAAAACATATTTTCTTCTGCCGTCAATTCTTTGCTTGAAAAAAATTTTAAACAAAAAAAAGAAAACTGCAACATTATTTAGAAGCAAAATCAAGAAATGGGATAAAAATAAACGGGATAATTGTGCAATATTTAGTAGCCTGCATATTTTCTGTGAACAGTACTGTGAACTGTGAATACTGTCAACAGTATTCACAGTTGAATTAAGCTAATAGTTTATCAATACCACTTTTTCTTAAGTCACAAGTGACTTTCTGTCTGACCCCTATTTCTCGACGCTCTTGCAGGGTAGCAAACCAAATGCTAAAATTTAAATAGTGTTTTAGCCTACCTCGCTACATTTCTCTATCTTGTACGCCGTACGCCTGTTACATCGCCTAAAACAGATAAGAACTTTCCCGTAAGCTTGAAAGCTCTTATTCATTTTAGGCGATGTAACAGGCGTACGGCGTACAAGATAGAGAAATATAGGAAAGATTGCTGGAAGACTATTTAAATTTTAGCATTCGGTTTGCAACCCTGCAAAAGGGTAGAGAAATAGGGGTGAGACCGATTGTGTAGAAAGAAATAAGGCATGCGAAATTATCTTATGTACACTTAGCACAGATTTACGATGTTGTAAGCGTTGGCCGCAGTTAACTGTGTAAAAGACTCGAGATAGAAAATTCTTTTTTAATACCAGTCTCGTTAGCACTGTTTTTCTAATATGCATGTTTTTTTGTAATTTTCAAGAATGTTGACAACATTTTCTATGAAACTGTGGCAGTAAGTCAAAAATCTTGCTAGATGAGTTTGCAATTTACTATATCACCACTTACTTCTATGTAAAAGCAGCTAGCTTTTTATTTATATTTGCATTGTTCGTTAAGAACACTAGTACATACAATTAATTTTAACGAACAATTTAAGGTCGGCCCTGACGTTATAGCTACGACGAGAATACTACTGGCTATATTGTACCCCTATTATAGCCGAAATGCCAAATGAAATACATCTAAAGGTAATTTACATGTTCCCGTTTTTGTGTCGTATTTGTATTTAACGCATGATTCAATCCCAGCGTGAACAGACCCCTCTAACATAGCAATATGCCATTCACCACGGCAGCCTTTTGCCCAACGGTTAACGTACCGACACCCCCGCCGCGGTGGTCCAGTGACTAAGGTACTCAGCTGATGACTATCAGGTCGCGGGATTGAATACCGGCTGCGGCCGTTGCATTTTTGATAGGAGGCGTAAATGCTGTAGGCCCGTGTGCTTAGATTTGGGTGCATGTTAAAGAGCCTCAGGTGGTCGAAAATTCCGGAGCGCTGACGGCGTCTTTCATAATCATATGGTGGTTTTGGGACGTCAAACCCCACATATCATTAACATACCGACACATCTGTATGCTCCTTAAGGCATCCCCTGTTATCTAAAAGGGCTCCTAAGCAACACTTCAAAGGCGAGACAACAGTTTTTTATCGCCTTCCTCCAAGCCTTATTTCCTCTTCTCCACTTATTTCTTCATGAAATGCGTGTAATGTCAGCACTATGCGATGAGCCAGTCAGAATTTCACGCTTTTTGACAATACACTGCTATTTATGCTTGCGCAGTCGCAAACGCAGGAAACGAAGTGAATTGAGTTTATCGTGCACGATAGCCATTAGAAACAAGGCAGACCAGGCAAGTGACTGCATGGCAAATTAGGGTGGATGACAATTTACAACAGATATTTTGTGCATGTCGACCAATCGAGAAATTCTTTTATGCTTACGTCACGTGAACAAACAGCTGGAACCACAAATTGTGCCACAAATACGGCACAAGCCACAAGAAAATAACGTGCGGTTTGCTCGTACTTGCAGAGGTTGTTTAGGGGCGCTTTATTCATTTTGTAGTAAACCATTCCTAAGCGTGGCTGTTGGGACACCAAGCTTCTAGAAGAAGGAAGGGTCCAATATGGTCTCCGAGTACTGGTCGTCAGATATGAAACAAAAGAAGTTCACGAAACGCGCACTGAGTGCGTAGTTTATCTTTAGACACGTTTTACGAAACAACTGAAAAAAGAAGCCCGTTTGACACTCGTTTCGTGCCATGCTCTTATAAGGACTCTCAATAACGCTACGTCAGCAGGAAGCCCGTCTTGCGCTGCTAATGCCGCCGACCTTAATCGGATGAAGAGTGCAACGTCCCCCAACCGAGCCCAACCTTCCAGGCTCAGGAAACCCGTCACTTAGCGCAGGCCGAAGTATTGGAGCGAGCGATACGTGCCACGCGCGTCACTGCTGCATGCATTTAGCTAAACGAGCGCCCACACTACGCCTTATTGAGAGAGATAACTGACTAACCGAAGTTCCAAAACTTCCAAACTCTGAGGCTGCTAGGGGTGGACCTCGGTCGGCGCTGAATGCCAGATAAACCACGACTCACTTAATAGAGTTTGTTGGCGCTCCGAGGCAGGAAGCACTGGTTTAAAGGGCCCACATATCACGCTCTGCTTTATTTCACTTCTTACGCATAGAAACTTCCTGCCCCTGGCTAGGAAAAAAAAGAAGATCGAAATGAATAGGACCAATTCTGGTTCTTTCCTTGCAGTTGGCGTATGCCATGGGTTGGGTGGCAAGCCTGACGACGACCAGCGTGCTCTTCCACTGTGGCTTCGGCTGGAGTCTTGAACGAGCCAGTCCAGCTGGAGCGTCATTGTACGCAGCACTACACCGGACCCTGTGGGCGCTGGCCGTCGCCTGGGTCCTCTACGCCTGCTGCACACTACACGCCCGTCAGTGCAGCTTATATCGTGCATTGCTGTTTTTTTTTCTTGTTTTGCTCTGACATCATCCGACATGACACACATTTTTATCGCATTAGGAATACTTATTTTGCTGCATTTTCTTAGCACGGAATCAAAGCATCAGATTCAACGAAACTTACGACCTCAAATCTTGTGTGTTGAAAATCACCTGTACGCGAAAACACTGCGATGTTACGTGCATTGTTACAAAGCCACTGATCTTCATCCTTTTTAGCCGTAAAATATTGACAGACTCACTACTAAAAGTAGGAATAAAAGAACTATGAAAATAAAAATAACAAAAAAGTTAAAACAAACGATAATGCAATTACAAACGAAATTCTAATTGAGCCTGTGGATAGCGAAAAATAATGCCAAAAAAGTATTAAAGCTACCCTACAGATTCTTACTGGAAAGAAACCCATGGTAAAGGGCACATAGAGTATTATTCAAAAACAATCTGACAAGTGATTGCTCAGTATCTTTAATATTGATTCTTGTTTATTAAAAGGAGAACGAAGGCAACCAGCGTCTGATCCTTTTTCGACACATGTCCCTTTGTAGTTATGAAGATTGAATGTCGACATTTATTCTATGTCCCTGGTCGTGATTTAATCATCGACGCAGATAAAAATTGAGTAAACCGTTTTTATTGCTTACAAAGTAGTAGAAATGCAAGTGCGAGCAATAGAAGTAGAAAAGTGGTAGAAAGAGAAGTAGAAATTGTTGTCGTATTTGTTAGCCAACGTATACAACTGCAAACGTTCATATATTACGTGACCTAGGAAAAAAGTTTGACAATGTTGTCTCCTTGGTGCTTTTTGTAATTGTTGCAATATAATATGCATTTTAATCAGCGTACTCACCTTTTAGGTATAATAGCTACATCAAGTATATCATTTTTCATTAGGTTTCCAGTATGCATACCAGTCCATCTCATAACCACTCTCACGTAATATATACAGGCACTTACATGGTGGTTAAATTGTTCGCAGGCTTGTTAAACGAATGGCTGTCATGGGGACCGTTGAAGGTGGTCGGCCGGCTGAGCTACTGCATGCTCTTGGTGCATCCACTAGTCATCGTGTCACAGAAATCACAGAACCGGCACATTACTTTCTTCTCGCACTTCGACATGGTACGTACTGTACTGAGTGTGGTAGTGCCATTGGGTCTTTCATTATTGATGAGCTCCACGAAAGTAGGTGAAAGCGCAAAGCAGTTAAAGAAGCAATTTATTCCTCTCGTTTTATTCACAGATGCACCTCTTCTTTGGTCACTATGCCGTCACCTTAGTGATGTCATTCTTGGTACACCTGGGCGTCGAAGAACCATTCGCTCAACTGGGCGAGCTTCTAGGATCTTGCGAAGTCAGCTGCCCACCCAGGCTGAAGCAGCTGACGCAGAACCTGTACGCTAGCATGACCACCCAGCTTCGTCGCCGCGAAAGGCAACAGCAGCAACAGCAGCAGGCTGTGTCAAACAGGAAAGAGCCATCTGAGGGTGGTAAGAAGGCCCAGCAGCCACCACAGCCGCAGCAGCAGCCGCTGGACAACCACCACACCGAAATCGCCATTGACGTGGACGTCGGTCGCCAGCTGGAGAACGGCACCGAAGTGGCCGTAATCAAGGAGAATGGCAGGGACACCACAAGGGATGGTCACAGGGACTCCGCTGGCAACCCGGAGGCCGCAGTGTGAGGCAGCGGGTTTGGCTAAAGGATGTGGTCGTCATTTTGATGAACAGTGAATGAGCTTCAGTGGCGTTCGAACAGGTGACTTGTGCTGCTGTCAGTGGCATGGCACACGCTCTGCAGGGGCGACGACATGGTGGAACTGAGCGCCGTAATCAGACTCAGTCCTCAAAAAAGCGTTTCTGTCATTCTTTGTTCTAAGTGACCCGAGTCCCGAGTCGCACGCTGCAGTGCGCTGTGCGACGGGAAAAAATTTTGAATGAATACATGTGACATCGAATGCATTTCAGCAGATAAAGCAGACCAAGTAGTTTATGCCATATGCGCATGTCGGTAGAAGAACGAAAGCAATGAATTTTAGAGACAGCCTATAATCTTTGCAATTTTATTCCCTTTCAGACTCTTGTGGTGGCTGAAAGCAAATTTCGCGATTTTGCCGCGAGTTGTTAGGATTCGTTCGGGCTTTATTTGACAGTCTCTTAAATGCCACCCGTTTTCCCCTTATTATTGTCCATGACAACAAACTAGTGAAGTGGTGATATGAAGCATGAGGGGGATAGTAATTTTGAACATTGATGCAAGCTTGTTTGATGTGCCCATCCTACCCAGTATTCTTTTTGGTATTTGCGTATAGCGTTCGTACTCAGTGGAGTGCATTTCAGATCAACGAAACGTGAATTTGTAAGTTGTGTCAATGTTACAATATATCTATTTCACATTGATATCTTTCCTATAGGTTCAGTGTTGTATCAGTCTGATGAAAAGCTCATGGGCACTCTGTGGATAGCAGCGAGTCTAACTCAAAATGACTATAAAAAAGCGCAAGGTTTACACCTTTGGACAAGTACTTAGATATTATAGCTATTTTGGTAATGTTGGCAGATAGGGTTTTTCAGCCGTAGCACAGGCTCTAGTGAAATGTCTAGAGTTGCGTAAGCAGCAAAAGAAACATGTGATACACGGTGGTTTAATAACGTATTTGCTTTTCCGCGTTATAACGTTTTCGGAACACACGATACAAAATATGTTTTCTGTAGTGGAACAATTTTTTTTAAATGATTATTACATGTTAACTTCAGTGCAGCAAGAACATTACTTGATGTCAAATATTGGTGTTACATTTCATGCGTTCTACACTCTCTTTCCATAACCAGTGCGTCCAATAGATAATATTACTGTCGTGGTTTTCATCAGCGATAGAAAATTATACATGCCTATCATGCCAACTCAACTTACTCAACGTTACGTTTCTTTTCATTTTGTTCACCATTGTGGTATAGCGGTTATGGTGCTGGGCTGATGACCCGAAGGTTGCAGGTTCGATCGCGGCCGCGCCAGTGGGGCGTCGTTGGAGGTGAAATACTAGAAGCCCGTGTACTGGTCGATTCCAGTGCACGTTAAAGAGTAACAGATGGTCAAAATTACTCTAACCCTCTATTACGGCGTCCCTCATAATCATATCAGGGTTTAGGGACGTAAAACGCCTGCAGGTAAATATTCATACTACTTTCTTGGTTGACCACTACCTACACAAATGAGACGAGTGCTGAAGATGGAGGTACGTCGTTCTTTGTTTCTTATCTGAGAGTCATATCCAACCTAGTGTCTACATTAGGTGGCGTTCGTCTAAATAACAGCAAGAGTGGTACTGCGTGCAGGGTCACTGAAGTGCTCATCTTTGAAGTATCTTAGGCTTTCTGTAGAAGCTGTGCTCACAAAACTGGCGACGCATATGAGGGATAATTTATTTATCTCTAAAAGGTTATTCGTGAAGATGTCCTTGACAAGCTGTTTTATTACAAACAATGACTGCGCATAAGGCAAAAGCAAGATAAAGAAAAGTTGGCATAAGGCACGGATCCCCCGATTTCGAATATATTTGGCTCGCTGCCGGCTGCACTGATCAACGAATCTACATGGTGACGTGATTAAACGGTCACCTTGCTACACATACCCAATGTAGAAATGTCAATATATCGAAAAACGATAGAACTGAATCAAAATAGAAACATAGGATCAATTTACGTCAAAACCACATAACGCATCAGTAATATCAGAAACAATGATTACGTATGCCATTCTCGAGTCAAAAAATGAATGCTGTAACGTACAACGGATCACCAAGTCTTCCTACTTATTAGCGATAACTAGATTATTAATAAACGTCGTTGTTATTTGAGGAGTGTTGCTTACCTCATGGACCTGCAGGGTCCCCATCTTGCTTGTTTTGTGCATGTGTGTGTGTGTTTTGCGCAGTCTGTTTCTTCTTCATTTGCCGTTCCATGTTGAGGTGTCGTCATTTAGCACATCCCAATTCCAAGCGTGCAGTGATAGTGTTGACGTGAATTTATTTCATTTATCACGTCGCTAAATTCACGACACGCTTGTGCCATGAGGTTACCTTACTTAACTACTCATTTGTCTCATCTTTCTCTTTTGGTGTCCGGGAAACTAAACTATTTGCTTTCTTGAGCCTAATTACATACAGCCAAGCACAGCAGAACCGCTTACAGCTTTCACATCGATGTTGTATTATAGTGTACATAGCTTTTTATGGAGCTTATATCTTCATCATTCTCAAAACAATCTGTAAATAAATGTGTTTGTCTGAAGCTTATTGTTCCTCGTTACTTATTTACTGGTCATCAACGATCGTAGGTGAAGCTAGAAGCTGTCGAACAACGGAAGCCGCACGGGAGGTTTGCGTTTCAGGTTTGGCGCTCTCATTTCTTTAAAATACATGCGCAATTATTATTAGCTGGTTGTCAAAGCCGTTGAGATTTTACATGCAGTCTAATTTTTTCACGACAGATGACAAGTGTATTTTCCCAGAAAAATGGTGCATGCATGCACTGACTCTTGGGCCACTACTATTTCAAAGGGTACTGGCACGAAAATTTTAAGTCGTCGTTTTTTTATGCGTCACAAGGAAGACCCTCAAGGGCCTAGATAATGTACTGGTGCGCATCAGTACAACATGGAAAAGTAAATAGAGTACGTTTTAAAAAGGTAGTTTTGGTTCCTACGGTACCTGGACGTCACAGTACGGTTGGAGGTTTTGCGTCCAGTGCTCGTGCAAGATATCTTGAGCTTTCCACAGCTGCTGCGTGCTCCGTTGGCGACGCACAAGCAGCCATTTTGAATGTTTTTGGTGAGGCCACGGTGCCCTCTAGAAGGTTTTGATATCCGACGTCATCACAATCAGCCATACATACTGGCGCACGAAGTCACAAGAGCTGACGGTGTATCCTGATGTCATGATAGCGTCGATGTGAGTAAGTACACAATGCCACAAATTGGCTTTAATATCAAAATAAAACATTTTATCAGCATTTACTGAGCTCCACACCTGCTCAGAGGCGTCACTGTATACAGAAGATAAGTATGGTGGAGTAAACTCACCATCGAATATTGGTGTCAATACCCCATTAAGCGACGACTGCTTGCTTATCATGACGGTAACCTCGTAGCTAAGCTCAACCGGACGAGCACTGTCAAACTGATGACATATGTGGGTGATTTTTGAATTCTTCACCATACTAACACAAAAAAATGTTGAATGGTCTGGAGCAACGAAAATAGACGTGTTCAGCTTTGAAATGAGCGCTCCTCATATTTCTTTACTGAATTACCTGCAAATATATTTTACAAGCGTTACTACTTTTTATTGGCACTTGCAAGCCAAACAGCGTAAATTGAATAAAAGCATGTCAGCTTTCAGGATAACAAGGCCAAGAGAGGTGATTCGCAGCATGCCGTGCGTTCAGCGAGTTATGGCATGGTTGTACCCTGGATGATAGCTAAAGGCCGTGCAGGTCCCTGAAGAGTCAGGCGGCGTTCATGCGAATATGGCCGAGTTAAATTTCCTGTCTTCAGATAGCCCGCTTTGGTGAAGGTATGCACCTTGATCCCGCAAATGCCTCTTGTCGTGAACTTCCGCACACACAAGTACTCTAAAGCGGAGCATCGCCGAACCCGACATGAAAGCGCCTTGGTGCAGGTCATGTGTACATCCAAGTGAGATGAAGCTTTGCCTTCAAGTAAGTAGGCTAAGGCACGCAGGTTATCACATTACGTATGCAGGTTTACCATATTTGTTTCAAGTATTATATATCCATAAACGCATAGTAAGAGAGCAAGAAATAAAAAAATACATAAAGAAAGCGAATTAAAGTGCCGGTGCAATGTCTAGGATTTTTGCAGAGAGGCTGTAATACTTTTACAGCAGAATCTGGAACTTTTTAGAGCTCAATTGTGACGCGCAAGTGCATGATCATACTTATTCTTTTTGTTGGTTTTGTTTTAGGATCTACCGCTTAGGATGGATGCCTATTACGTAATAATGCCAAATGTTAAATTGTGTTTTCTACAGCTCAAAAATTTTCAGTCGTTTGGATTATGAATTATGCCTCGGTATTCTAACGAAGCGCGAGTAAACCCGGGTCTTTACTCTTCACTATGTAAATCATCCTGAGCTTAGGCTACATTGCTGTGTTGCTAAGCTCGACTTGACTTCAAACATCGGCCACCACGGCGGCATTCCAAATGGGAGAATAATGCAAGAAAATCCGTGTACTTTCATTGAGGCACGAGTAAAAAGAAGCGTGCAGCACTTTTTGAACGTGTTCACAAAACTCTGGTAGTCTGTTGTCGATCGGTAGTTAAGAATTTGCTGCTACAAGAAGACACGGTTTCCTAAACCAAAGCATGCAGTCAAGGTAAATATATATGCAAACCTTGTCTCGTCATTTGTTGTCGAAACACGCGAACCTGAGCTACTACTCCAGAAATTTGGGTTTACAGGGTTCAAGCACGGCAGATGTCATACTCCTGAGCCATACAAGTATTTCCATAATGTAGGGGCTGCCCGGACGCGTGGGATAAACCTTACTATGGGGATGTTCGTTCCATCAGCTTTTTCTGTTCAACGAGTCCTCATCACGTTGTATACTTCGTTTTTTAACACTACGTTCCGGAATACTTTCTGTCAACAAGGCGGCACAGCAT